GTAACAACAAGTCTCACAATGGAGATGTTACTGGTGCCCGCTCCAGCAAATCCATGAACCGCGGGGGAGGACAGTGACAGTGAACTAAACCACAGATTGAAGGGAGCTAGGAGGAAGAAGGAATGTCAAGGATGGACTGCAGATTCCTTCTTAGCATGCACCAAGCTGGTGGTGAAGGTTGAAGAACAGATATACCCGGCTAGGAACGTGGGAGACGTTAACAGCAGGTTGGCCAAGGTCACTCTTTGTTCATCCTGGGGAACACAGAGCCTCCTGGCCCTCTGCTGTTACTGGATAAGCTTCATGCCCAAGGTTTGCACCATTTTTGTTCAATATCGGTATTTGTGTGGACTGTTCCCCTCCAGGGCTTTAGTGAAGGATAAGATCCCCGAGGGCAGGACAGGTCTTTGCTACTGTTGTTTATAGGTTCATCCTGAACAACAGCAAAGTGGGAGCAGATGAGTTCTTCAGAAAATAAATGTTCAATGCACAGTTACGTTCAGCCTAGTTTCTTCTTTTTTATCCTGCCTGTTTTAAGTTGCTGGGTCACTAACCAACTGTCATTCTGCCAGAGAGCAAACCACAGCTCTGAGATATGCAAAAGTTCCTGCAATGCTAAAACAAGAAAGGGGACAAGATGAGACCAAAATATGCCAGAGAAATCATATATAATATAAATATTATACTATATATAATAATAATTTCTTCTAATAAGAATAACTATGAGGGCCTGAGAGGTAGTTTAGCAGGTAGGGCACTTGACCTTGCATATGGCTGACCAGGGTTCGAGCCCTGGCACAATGTATGACCTCTTGAGCACCACCAGGAGTGAGTCCTGAATGCAGAGTCAAAAGCACATCTTAGCAGACAGCTTGGTGGCCCAAAAACAGAAAGCAAAAAACAAAACCAGCAAATACACAACTATGAGATATCAAGAACAGTGAGAAAGATAATAACAACAAAAACATCACAAAGTTTATCCCCCATTAATTAGAGACGGGGCCATACTGGTAGTGTTCAGGGGCTGTCCCTATTTCCGGGTTTAGGAGCGACTCCTGGCAGTGCTCAGAGAACCTTACACAACACCAGGGATCAAACCCAGTTCAGCTGCACGCAAGGCAAGCACCAAAAGAAGGCTATACCCTGAACTATCTCTAGGGATCTCAATCAGTTTTCTTTAAAAGAGAGAAATGCAATGATTTATTTGGAAAAACATTCTTGACACGCCCACAAACCGATCTATGCTTACATTCTGCTTACTAATCTTTCACTGGGTGCCTTCTCGGAGACAGAGACTTTGCAAGCACAGAAAATATTTATTTCTCTATCTTCAAGGTCACATTTTCACTATAATTATCATACACTGTTGTCAGTGTAGTGGTAGCATTAAAGAGAACTGTGGTAACACAAGTGATACTTAAAGCCTGAGAAAATTTTTTGAATGCATTTTTATTAAGCGTGAAAGAAATGAATGAGAAGAAAAGAAGACTCTGGCTGGAGAGATAGCACAGCAGCTAGGGAGCTTGCCTTAAATGTGCCTGGCCCAGCTCGAGCGATAGCACAGTGGGTAGGGTGCTTGCCTTGCATGCAGCCGACCCAACAGATTCGGGTTCGATTCCTCCACCCCTCTTGGAGAGCCCGGCAAGCTACCGAGAGCATCTGCCCGCACGACAAAGCCTGGAGAGCTACCCGTGACGTATTCGAGATGCCAAACACCATGGAGCCAAACACCCAGTCTCACCATGGAGACGTTACTCGGCCCGCTCGAGGAAATCAATGAACAACAGGAGGACAGTGCTAGTGCTAGGTCCACCTTCAGCCCCAGACACTGCATATAGTTCCCTGGAGGCCTTCCAGGAGTGATCCCTGAGTACAAACCAGGAGTGACCCGTTGAGCACTGCTGGACGTGGCCTAACAACAAAAACCAGGAGAAGAGAAATGAAGAGAGGGCAGGGAGAGAAGCTCCAAGAGGCAGGCGAGGAACAGAGGCAGGAACCAAACAGCAGGGTGCAGTCAGAGAACTTTGACAGCACAGGGCCAAGAGGAAGATGAAGCTGCCGACACAGCAGGGGCCTGATGCCAGCCAGGCGGGATCCAGCTGGATGTGAGACTCATCTGCTGAAGAGACTCAGAAACTAGACAGTGAGCTCAGGGGTCAGGCTCGTTTGCCCACTTGGGTCCTAGGCTATTCCTGATGAAGGCGTGGGGAGGAGAGCGAGCTCCCTGATGCCAACCTCTCTGGGTTTAAATATTTACACTGGTATTTACTCATGAAGTGACCTTAGTTACTTAATCTTTCTGCAAAGAAATGATAACAGGGAAGATAGCTCAAAGGCCGGGAGCGGCCCCATTTGATTCAGCATCGCATAGACCCTAGAGAAACACCAGCCTAGGCAGGACTGAAACGGAGCAACACACCACTGATCCAGGGAACAGCAAACCATCAGGCCTGAGTCGTTGTTCATGGGTCTGTGGCTCTCGAGACACCCTTGGCATACTGGGGGAGCCCTCCTTCACCCCAAGAGTGCTAGAATCTTCCTAACGGAGTTACGGAAATGATTAGTCGCAATACGTATTTAGTTGAATGTGTGTATGTGTTCATCGTACTAACATCACCAAGAATTAACCCTACGAAGTATTTGTTACTAATCTTTTCAAATAAAGTGACAATATTAAAAAACAAAAACATAAACCTTCTTTGCATCAGCACTAGGTCCGGAAGAGTTAACTTTTCTCTAACACCATAATTAGTTGCATGGACATACTGAATAAGAAGTCTTAGACTTTATGGAGAAGATTACCAAAAGGGAATTTCAGACTGTCTCTCAAGATCTCAGCTTGGGGAATCTCTATGTGTGGTTGGTACTTGCATCTAAAATTAAGTTGGAGTTATTGGAAATTTCATGGGTAGAGTTCTGTTTGACAGCAGGTTACACCTTAAACATCTGTTTCCCCTGAGTATGTATGCAATTTGAAAACATCTGTCAGGTATGCTGGTGCTTTAGTTATGTGACATTATTTGGAAGCAAGAACTATTCTTATTTTGAAAATATCACCCATTTCTAGATCCTAGCAAGGTGCTGGGCACAAAATAAATATGAATAAGCAATCAGAAAGTAAACTGAGTGGGTTCTCAGATTTTGAGAACGAGACCCTTGAAGAAGCCAGCTAACATTTGAAATGAGTATTAGATTATTAACTACCAACCCTAAATGTAATTCTAAATGAACCTTTATACTTGCATTCTTCCCTTGTCGACAATAGTATTAGTAAAATAGTGAATAGGGAAAAATTCACTATTACTATAAATCACTTGTTTTACTATTTGACTCAAACTATATACTTCATATGTGCTATATGAAATTTGAGTGACATTTTTATTTGAATTGCCCCTTTTTTTAATCACATTTCTTATTTCATGAAAAACCTTTTGACAGATATCTCTAAACATTTCACAATAATTTCTCAAGTGCCCAAGAGTTAGATGTAATTGGTTTAAAAATGAAATGACAAACACTAACACAATGTGATGAACAGAAATGACTATTTGAGTGACTTAGGTTCTCAGTAATTGGCATTTGTTATTATTTTATAGACAAAAATCCTCTTATTTTTTAATGTGAGGTTTAAATTACATGAAAAATATCTGTTGTAGATAAAAATCTACCAATCTCAAGATAAACCTTTTCTAAATTTGTAGCATTTATTATGCAAATTGGGATTGTTTCAAATTCTACCCGGGGAATATGCTGTTTTAGCTTAATCAGATTTATTGACTTATTAAAAAGTTCCATCACCTTTAACTATGATAAGAATGGATTTGGAATAACTCAAATACACTGAAATGAACCTACATACTTGCATTCTTTCTTTGTCAACAATAGTTTTAGCACAACAGTGAATAGAGAAAAATTCACTGTTATTATAATTGACCTTTTTTTAATATAACTGGTATCAATGCTTACCTCAGTTGCTTAACTGAGCTATTACTATGCATCCTATAACTATTGTCCAATAGGCAAAAGGTACTTGAAAAGCATGGCTTTATAAAACTAAGCTGCTACTATTCTGAACATACAGAAAAATCTGAACATTAAAATAATAAGGAATTGCCCTGTGCTTTTCACAGGTGGTTTTTATTTGTGTTGTTTTGAAAGTCTTTTTGTTTAATGATGCTCTTTTAAGTGCCATTTCACTAGTAGTCTCCAACAATTATTCTGTGGAATTTTCTTGAACTTTGCATCAATATCCCTCTAAAAATTTCTTTCTTCCTATTCATCACCTTTATGATCACGGCAAAACTCAACATAACAATACTAGCAAAATTTGATTTCTTGTACATCGATTCTGTGAGATGTCTGCATCTAAACACATTCTGTTCATTTGAGTCTAATATTTCAACCCCACAAAGTTGATGCATTTTGTTGGTATTCTCTATATCAATATGTATTTTATATATCAGGAAACTAAGAAACTTCCACAGGTTTGAAGAGATCAATTGATTTGTTCAGTTACTGAGTTAAAAAGTTAACCAAGGCTGGATTCCAACCTAGCTCTTCTCGATATATGCTTGATAAATGTAGTTTCCTCAATATCAGGGGATCTCATTTTAAAAATCTGCTCAAGTCTCAATAATATCAGCATGTTTTTCCCTTTCACACTGTTGACACAGTTATGGGCACAATCGATTTACCCTTGAGTTGAATTACCTCTATAAACAATTACTGTGGTGATATGTCATTTGTTAGTGACTCTCTGTTACAAGTGCCTCTGAAAGTGACTTTGACTACTCCAATTAAAATAAAATTGCTGCCTTTTATTTGTTCATCTTTTCCCTATTAAACAAGGCAACACTTAATTATCTTGTCTAACTGGAATGCCATTCAATTTCATCTTGAGCATGAAATCATTTTCTGAAAGTGAGCTAGTTTAGCTGTGCGTGTGCTCCTTTCATAACCCGTATAGTTAGAGGGGAAAAGAGAAAAATAACGTGTCTTACTTTCCTCTAGTTGTTTCAAAACTGGATTTTTGAAAGTTGGTTCTTTGCCTTCCAGGGTTGTCTCCTCTGCTGAGGTAGGTTTCCCGTGGGGCTCGATTTCCCTGGCCTCCGGTTGAGTTGAGGGAGATGGCTTGTTGACTTGACTTTCTGGCAAAACTCTGAAGGAATTCCAACGTAGCATTAGAAAGGACAAGTGACTCTGCTCTGGGTGTCAACTGGGCACTAGGTTTGCTCAGAGGGGCAAGAGTCTTCACCTCTTCTTTCTTCCCTTGGAGGGTAAAAGTTTGGCTTCTCCTAGACTCAGGAGGTTCTTCAGTCTCAGTGGGAAGCAAAGTTGATTTTAGGAGATTGTCTTCAGAAGCTCTTTCCTCAGGAGGCTGGGTTGTCTCAGGTGTCATGATGTGAGTGGTTGGCAGCGTTTGGAGACTTTGATTCACGGTGTAAGAAGTTGAGGTTCCGTTCCTCTGGAAGTTTTTCTCCTCAGGTGTTGTAGTCCTAGTATGTGTGGTATTGTGAAGTCCCACACCTGCACTCCATAAACTAGAAAGCAGGACAAACAGCCTTGCCCCCTTCATCTTGGTAGTGTGAAGTCAAGTAGAATGTGTAACAGTCCTTCCAACCCTTTTGACAGTTGCTTCCACACTGAATCCACTAGGCAAGAACTTTGCCAATTGGAGATGTGTAGAGGAAACAGGTTTCTGTGTTTTGCAGTGGACTCAGGAAGTTTGATTTCCTGTTTCTGTAGGTTTTGTGTGATCTATGACCTCCGGTAGGATGGATCTATGGGTGCGGTGAAGGTTCTCTGACAGAGCTAAGGGCAAATTATTATCAGAACAATCTATTAGAAAAACATGAAGTAACTTTTCTCTCTTGTTTTAGGTATTGCTCATTTTGAAGGGAAACTGTCATATTGATGACAGAGAATATGGAATTTTGTTGGGATGGGCTGAACTGGGAAATTAACATTTTGTTCTTCTATAAGGATATTGTGAAAAAAATTTTGGGACACATTTCCACTCCCTCCCATCCAGAGAATAACTATTTGTTCAAAGGCATTTATGCATGCATATACATAAATAATAAAAACTTATTTTTGTGGTCTCTGCATTTTTATACATCACAGGTTGAGTTATTAAAAAGATAAATATGAAAAAGAAAGCTTAAACACCAGAATCAGTTTACATAGAAATTGTTTACTTTTGATTTTTGATGGCCTACAAACGTTTATTAAAATTTTACATTAACTTTAAAAATAAATAAATATGTGGTTATATTTTATAAATGTACTTTAGTTATAGGATTACTTGAAGCTAATCTTAATCGTCATGTTATAACAAAAAAGAAAAGTATAGGGGGTGGGAAGGATACTGGGATACGTGGTGGTGAGAAATGGGCACCGGTGGAGGGATGGGTATTTGATCATTGTATAACTGAAACCCAAGCACAAAAATGTGTAAATCTGCAACTGTACCTCATGATGTCTCACTATTAAAAAAATTTTAATAAAAAAACATAGTTTGGAAATAGAAAAAAAAAGAAAAGTATATGCAAAGGAATTATGTAGACATAAAAGGTACACACTTTGAGTTGTGCCCTCAGAACTTATACCAGAAACAATATTAAACAATATTAAAGAGTTAAAATAGAAATTTTTACTTCCTTTTTTTACCTAATCCTTACCTTGTCATGGTTGAGAGTAATTAGTATTTTACTACTAAGGGATAGTTGGAGAAAAGTGGAGTTACATAAAAAATAAATTAAAATAAAATCCTATATATAATACTTTTATTATATTTTTACTGAAGTATGACTATATAAGAGCTGTGAAAAGTAGGAAGTTAAATTGATCAAAGACTTTCATATTTGTCTTTCATTGTAGATATACTTCATGGGTTTTATGATCCTGCACTTCTAACAAATCTCTAATTCTTGGACTTTAATTAAGCTTTTCCAACCGAAAAAAAATAGTTCATAGGCGAGTCATTAAATACATAAATAACAAATTGTACAATTTCGTTCATGAATTAACTTTTTCTTTATTTAGCAATTATCCAGCCCCCTTATAAGCTTCAGCAAGGTGCTGATGCACATATCAGCACATATATTGCTGATTCTCAAATTGTTTTACTCCTCTATGTAATCTGAAAACTAATTCTGTGTAAATAACTTTTCTGGTAACTCCTGTGTTAGGCATTACACACTTGCTAAATATGCAGTTTTCTTTTAGAACCGGAAAATTAAAAAGCGTTTCTCTCCTGGCTTTGTATTATTGTAGGAATTACTCTAGTCCCTAATCCTGGGTCTAATTTATCTTTGAATTACTAACTACTTATTGGTAATTCTTTTCTTGGCATTCACATATAAGAACACCTCCTTGATGTCTAAGAAGGTACATAAGATAAGATGATTTAAACCAGAGATTTAAACCTTTTTCAAATGTATATGGGGTAATAGTTCCTTTTCAGGAAAAAAAAAAAAGTCAGTGTCCCAATAGAAATCCACCTTCTTTAAGTGAATCCAGGAAAGCAGCTCCAACTGCACCTGAGGCTACTCCTGCCCCTATTCCAGAGTCCTCAGGGTTGATCTCACCTACTTTGGGAAATCCAGTTTAAGCTAATGCATGCTAATCACCAGCAGCTCAGGCTCCCATTGGAAAGGAGAGCAAGGCCTCTGCTTTTCAGCTCTACCCCAGAACAATCTCAGCGTTTGGCATTCGTGAAAAAGGCGGAGACAATCCAGGCAGCAGGGCTTACTAAAAAGAGTAATGAAACTGCATGATTTTAATAACAGGTATAGAATTTAATAGTATTGCAAAAAATATTTTATAGGTTCTCGATCTGAAAAAGACAAAGGCAATTCATTTGGCTTAGAGCAAAATGGTAATTCAGAAAAAAACCAATTAAAATCTCTCTATATACTCTATAGTTTAAGTATCATCCCTTTCAATTTAGTTAAAAGAGATGCATGAGCATTCTGAAAACTTTGAGACACAAGTCAAATAATGACAACATAACTTTTTTTTAATTTTAAAATTTAGAGTTTATTCATTTCAATAGATCTTTATTTTATGCTGCTCAATTTATTTAGAAGGACTGTGTACTTTTCATTGTCATTATGCTATAGACATTTTGCTTTTTCCAAATGAATTCTTTCATTCTCTCTCTCTCTTTTTCTTCTTTTCTTTCTCAAAGAAATTTCTCTGAGAATGTATACTTCATTCTCAATACAAGTTCAATAGAACTTTGCTTAGAATTTGCGAATCATCTTCAGTAAAAGTGAGGATTAATTAGTCACACATGAAGCATGCTTAAATTTCTTATTGCTCTTGGGTGATTTCTTTTATTATTTAGATTCAAAAGCAAGTATTCCACTTCCACTCTACATCTCAGAGTTGATGGCATGAATTAGTATTCATGCCAAAAAATGGACTTAGACCTCAACTTGACACACATAACTTTTTTCCCCTTCTACAGTCTGATTGAAAAACAAAACGTGGACTCCTTTAGGACATTTAAGTGATAATGTGTTACTCATTGATCCGATAAGATAACAAATGCCTCTCAGTGGTAATGAAACTGACCTGAGCTAAGCTATTCATTTGACCTCCTGTAAAGTATTAGTCAGTGGTGACCTTGATTACTGCCATCCTCGCTTACAAGAGACTTTGTGATTAAAAGGCTAAAAGTTCCTTAGCTTATTATAAATCTACTAAGCTATCTTGCTGTTTTACTGCCCAGAGAACTTTCAGTTCACCTGATGGTTTTAAGTGAATGGAGAATTCTTTGATTGGAAAAACAGAATATCTATCTGTATTCCAGAAACAATCAGAGGTGAAAGTCTGAAATTCTTCCTGAGAACTTACTATTCGTCGAGAAAGAACTTAGAAAAATAATATTGATGGAATTCCTGCCTGAAGAATACATTGTCCTTTCTTCTAGCTACTCTAAAAACTATCCGAGGATTAAGGGTTGGAGAGATAGTACAATGGGTACATCATTTACTTTGCACCTGGCTGATTGGATCCTATCCTCAGTATTCCATAGGGTCCCCTAAGTACGTCGAGGAACAACTCCTGGGTGCAGAGGCAGGAGTGACCCCTGAGCATTTCTGGGTGTGAACCCAAAACTGAAAATAAATAAATATGTAAAATTAAAAATATCCTAGGATTATTATAAAATTAAAAATATCCTGTGCTTTCAGAATTGTTTTTATTCCTGGATGCCCCTGTTCTGGTATACCCCCATTTCCCATAGAATAATGTTTTATTAATTTTTATTTATTCACTTTTAAAAATTTTCTAAGAAACCATAAAATTCATGAGTCTATTCACTATAAATCTGGTATCATGAGTTTTTTTTATGTTGTTTTTATTGTATCATTAATATATAATGAATATGTTTATTGAATAATTTGTTTCTGGTGATGAAATGATCTATTTGTTTTATTCTTTTCACTTAAGATGCACATGCATTAATTTTGTATCCCAAGAATATGCAAATTTTTATTAAATTGAAATAAAGATAAATGCAAGCATAAATAAACTTAGGTTGAAGATTTCTCTGTAGATTATGTTCTGCATTACTTAAAAGCATTTTATAACTGTAAGATTTACCAGTCTTTGTAAAGTGTTAGTAGTATTTAGAAACTTGCACTAGATTAATACGAATTCTTAGCAGCTTCCTTTTCTCCCAAGACATTCTTAAAATAGTTTAAATATTTAAAACAAGATTTTATTTAACCCTTACTTATAAAGTAACACTGTAGGGCCAGAGAGACATATAATAGGTAAGGCTGGCTTTGCATGCAGTCAAGCAAGTTCAATCCTCAGCACCCCTAGGTCTAGGAATACCACAGGAAGTGACTCCTGAGCGCAGAGCCAGGCATAAGCCCTAAGTACCACTGGGTATAAACCCCGAAACAAAAATCTGCCCAATTATTTAAGCCTTTTTCAATTTTTTGTTAGTTAAGTAGTATTCAAAAGCTGTTCAATGTTTATGTGGATAAATGGAATTTATGAGCATACAGTAAAATGACTAAGAAGAAATAAAGAGAAAGAGATTGGTATGACTTTGATAAGCCATAAGAAGTGCTAGAAAATTTTAATTTGGCGTGTCATTTAATTTCCCCAATAATTCTAAATAACTATTCTATTTTATTTTACAAACAAGAAGATTAAGCTTAAAGGAATTAAATAGCCTCTTAGCATAATGCAGTGGTTATGAAAAGAACAAATATTTGTGCTAATTAACTTTGATAGTTTCCACTGTCTCCCAAAAAGAAATAGTAAGGAGCTGGAGCGATAGCACAGCAGGTAAGACGTTTGCCTTGCACGCGGCGGACCCCGGTTCGATTCCCAGCATTCCATATGTTCCCCTGAGCAGCATCAGGAGTAAATTCTGAGTGCATGAGCCAGGAGTAATCCCTGTGCATCACTGGGTGTGACCTCCCCCCCCGCCCCGCCCACAAACAAAAAAAAAGAAGAGAAATAGTAAAATAATAAGCATCTAAGGTTGCATTCACATAGAGAAGATCATTTTCAAGTTTTCTTACATTCATTTGTTTCAATTGCCTTAAT